CATATTTTAAACTTGTCCAATATTGAAAAAGTAAAGCTTTTTTTAATGAATTTTTAAGTGTTTATGTTTACTTTTATTTTTGGTGCAATTGTAGTCGTTCGTGTGATGTCAGTATGAATTACTTCTCAATTTTGATCTTGCTGACCGACGGTTCATGTTATGATCACACAAAATAATGGAAATGTATATACATTATTTTTTTTTGTAGTCATAATAATTCTTTATGTGAACAAAACCATGGCCTCAACCGACAATGTTGCTTTGCTTCCATTTTTGGCAGTTGATTTGGGTGTTTGGGCTATATCATCATAGCTCATTTTCATATCAATTACTACTAGGACTAGTGCGTTTTTTTGGGGTATTTCTTCTTGGTTTCACACGTTCCCACTTGATTGCTAGTGGAAACGCTGAATTCTGAAAGGAACAAGAAATCCTTTAATTAATTAATTAATTAGACTCTATATATATAAAGTCTAGACAACAAAACCTTAGTTATTTGGTTTGATAAAATATAAATTGTGGGAATACAAAAATTATTAATTAATGTATGTATGAACGCGTGAAGCTAATTAGTGTAGGTTGATATTATAAACGTGCGCGCACACACTCATATAGATATTCTTGAGTCTTGAATACAGGGGTCGTACGTTGAAGTGATGATGATGAACTTGTAACTGCAACGGTTATGGCTAAGCCTAAACGAGACGTACCCAACCCTACAAGCAATGCCCTTCCTTGGCTACCTTTTCACACCATCCCCTCCTGTTTTGTACCTAAAAGTAAATACCTACATTAATTAAAACTTCTTGTTAGCTAGGGTTTCCCTCCTCAACTTTCTAAAAAAATTTTCAAATCTTTGAAAAAATTCAATAGACCTTAGATTGATTTTTATGTGTTGCTTTCTAATTTTCCTTGATAATGTTTTTTTTTTTGTCATCTAGAAAATGTTTAATAGAATTACAATTTTTCTCCTCCTTTGTTAATTAATATGAATAATTTTTTTCTTAGTTATAGTCAATTAATGATAAATTTTGTTGTGAGATTCGGGAAATAACTGACTTTTCACAAGTAAATATTGCTTTTAGGTCTGAAAATTCTACGTTTACTTAACGTTGTTTTAGTGGTGCCACTTGTTTTTTCTTTTGGAGATTTGTCATTTGTGCCATATTTTCCTCTAATTATATGCTGCCCTATAAGATTGACTAAGAATTGATATGATAATTTTTTTAGAATCTTTTCCTTTTATTATTTAAAACATATTAATTTTAATTTTGGTTTATTATGACTTTGAATGTTATTGAAGTCAAGATTCTCACAAAATTTATTTTTAATATATGTAAATCCGAACAATAGCACACCCCCTCTAACATCAATTTTTGACTCTGCGCGCCCCTTTATCCATAAAACATTGACAATGTGGTGTGAACGTAGAATATATTCTTGTGACGGCAGAACTTCTACGCGGATGGGTTTTTTTTTTTTTTTTAAAGAAGTCTACATGGATGATTTGTTTGCGTAATTAAGGATTGTTTGGTTTGTTGGGAGATGATGAGC